TTTTCAGTTGCGCTCACAAAAGCCACCATCAATGACAATAATTTCTATGACTGCTTTCTAACACAATCGAGGAGAAGTAAAAATAGGGAAAAAATTAACATTATGGGGCTGAGACAAACAAGAAACCTTCAGCAGAACTTCACAAGGGATTAATGTTTTTCTGCAGCTGTAATTTCCTTAGACCAGTGATCGTTTTTTCAAGTCTGAATCTAAATATAAACGTCCCTCATGATCATGCTGAGCAGACAATCAGTCATAAGTCATTGTAATTTTTCCGCTACTGGATTAAGACACAACTCCAAAACCTCAGGCCATAATCATAGTCATCAACTCATTGCTGATAAGTATTTCTCTAATTTTTAGCACTATTCCCACAGGAAATGCTGGGAAGGTTTCCATGAAAGGAAGAGAGAAATCTGGTTTTCTTTCTTTCCACCCTAATACAGCCTTAATGATTACAGCATAGACTTCTGTTAAAAGACTCTGTTAAAAGTATTTATAGTGAATAGAAATGGGACAGAAAGCTATCTTCAGTTCACATGAATTTGATCAAAATGGCTCACAAGAAGCTCTCCAACACACTCGAATCTGCCAGCACTTGATCCTTTCTCCCCTGCAGGAGTCTATTCTGTGGATGTGCAGACTCAGGGTGTGGGAAGAACCTGCTGAGACTACCAATGGATCTATTATTTGGCTCATAAAACTTGTAAGAATCTCACAGAATGTACAACGTGCTATTGTGTCTGTAAATCTCTTTCATTACTTGGTTAGCAGCCTGACTCAAAGCAGTCTGGCCTGTTTTCACTTCTACCATAAAAGGGTTTTTTGAAAGAGCCATTTAACTGTGACCATGGTTTCAGCAACACTGTGAAGACAAAGGAAGGGTTGAAGCCATATGGACATTTCAGTACTCAGACTCCAGCAAATCAGTACTACTTTTTTTTTTCTCTTAGAACTTGCTTTTGCATAATTAGCTCTCTTTATATACTGAATGAACTAATACATCAATATTCAAGACGCAGGAAACTGCCATTCGTGAGTTGTAATTTAAAGTATTAGAAACCACAGTGCATCGATAGAGAGCATTCTCTTAAAAGCCTTCAGAGGATTAATTTTATAATCAGTGCTTTCTGTCTTGTATATTGAACAGAATAAAACAGGAGAAAAACCAATTTATTTTGCCTTTCCTCTGTCCAGAGTATTTCTAAATACAAGGAATTATTTATGTTACTTTTAGTCACCAGATTCTAGCAAGAAAAGGTTTGTATAAAAAGCAAATTGATACATTCAGCTTCTAGGTTTACCATCAGTCTTTCTGCCCTATACAGCAATGCCTGCTTGTCATTACTACTCCACAATAAACATTATGATATTCTTTTCACTGTGAAACAGAGCACACTGAACCAAAAAAAATAACAGTGTTACTTCTCCTCAACGAATTCTCCGCAATCTATTTACAGTATGGTCCAGTTCTGAGGGGATGTTGATCACTCCCTAGCAGGAACACATTCTGAACAAGTACTAATTATCTTTCTTACAGGACTCACAAGAAACTCAAGTAGGATGCTTGCATCACTGCAGAAACAGTGCTAATTTGCAACTGTGACGCTGCAGGATCAGCTCTGTGCCCAGCTTCCCTTTTTAAAATTACTTTTTAAATGTAGATAGTTTAAAATCAGCTGCTTATCTTGGAAACGGAAGGAGACTAGGCATGCCTGTGCGGCCTGATGAAGTGGAGGAGTTATGAGGATGGCACATACTTGATCATACAAAACAGCCAGCTACAATTAGCACGTCAGGGAGCAGCGAGAGCGGGGCTGCTCCCTACGGGAAGGTGATCTGGGAGCACAGGGTGGGCAACGCACTCGCCGACAAGGTGCAGTCCCACAGCACCAAGGCGCAAGCAGGCTGAGCGGGGTGACGGCACCAACAGGGCTTCTCTCAGTCCGCTGAACATCAGGCAGGACAGGGAAAGTACAAGGCCGGGCTCCAGGTCCTGGGCTTCCCACACAGCACTTGACGAACAGGGCTGGGGCAGGCACACCTAAGGCACAGCGCAGGCAGGGCCTGAAGGCTCCAGTCTAAGCTTAAATGGAGACCTTGCTCAGTGGGTGTGGGTGGAGGATCTAAGTGAGGGTACTCAGGGCACCTAAGGCCAATTAGGGCCCTCGGGCCCTGCCACAGTGCACTTTGCTTGGGACTGTAACTCTTGGGTAGAATCACCAGCAGCCAGACTACCCCAATACAACTTAAATTTGTGCCATGTACCTCTTTCAAGATGACACAGTTTTTTACAAGGCAAATTAATCCAAAGTCTCTCTTTCTACAGTCTGAACAGCAAGATGAGAGAAACAAGAATCAGTATCAAGGCGTAGCGTACAATTAGCTTGTTCTAGTTTTGATGTATGCTTGATGCATCATACATGCTTAGTACTCAAGTCTACATGTTTTCAGTCAGTCAATCAGCACTTCCCTGTCTAGGGACAATACTAACTATATTTCCCTGTGCAACAGAAACATGAATCTCTCTCAGAACTCTGGTATCCTGAATCAGCAAAATAGGATTCCCAAAGTGCACTTGTTGTTTTCTCCCTCTTCTCTTACTATCTATCTCTCCTTCGTTTAAAGGCTTTTTTTTTTTTAAACAGGCAACATCTGTCAAAGCCTATCCAATTGGCACCATATCTGCTTGCTCAAACTAAATATGCACACATTATATGTCAGACTTACACAAATGGCATTGTTGGTGAAAGCGTAGTGAGATGTTACAAATAATCTATTCTTTCAGTTTTGTAACTTGAGTAGGTTAGTGTTCTGCAGTTTATACCCAACTTAGCACTGCCATCATAATTTATTCAAGGAGATGGAAAATTCATAAACACTTAATAAAATAGTTACCATAAGATAAGTTATAGATGATAATGAGCACATTGTCACTTAAACTTAAGCCAACAAAGGGGGTTCCAAGATCCTGTTGTTATGAATTCAGCCTCAACTTCTACAGTCATAGTAACAAATTATTGATGACAGACCTCCTTTGTTTGGCATTAATGATCATTTTTTTGCATAAGAATATATTTCTGGAATCAGTTTTGTTAGTAACCTGGCCTTTTACAGCCAAAAAATGGTTTTTGGGGGGTTATATTTATTAGAAAGCAATTTCTGCATATTTTTCAAAGTTGTAGATTTCTGGTCTAGAATCCCTGTTACAATACTGGGGACCAAACTGACAGTTCACTAAAGGCAGGATACAGACAGGAAAAACTGAAAGAGGAAGGAGAAAACAAGGGGATGGTAACCCTCATAACCCTCACATTGTTCTCCCTCATAAGCCTCTTTTCCCCAGGCTTTCCTCCCCAACATCAAAGTTTTAATAACTAAGCTTAGCACCACTGCTATTGACATGAGTCCAAGACAAGCTTCTACTAGAAAAGTTGAAAAGATCAGAAACCACATTTATAATACAGAACTTGCTGCAACAAGACAAGACACACATATTGATGAATTGGCACGTGAAACCCCTGCCTTCTACTTGGCCCTATCATTAAAACTGTAACAAGGTACTCTGTACAGCACAGTGCAAGGTACTCAGTAAATTAAATAGAGCAATTAACATGTCCACCACTTTGTTGCCTTTGGCATCCCCTCTTGTACAGCACTCTTCAGAAAGTTCTTGGCCTTCTCTGTCTCTGCTACTTCACCATATCCCAACTCTAGACTGGGATTGAGGCCAGGGACCTTGCAACACTGAGCTGTTTAGAGTGGAATTCCAGCAGCAGTCCTCAGAGTCCTTTGGCAGCCCCTTTTCCATGGACCTTCATGTTCTGTTCTTCCCCTTCTCTTCTTCCAAACCCTAATTCCTACCCCCACCCCAACCCTTGGCAGAAAGTCCAGCAGAGGACCCCTCCTCACTGTCAAGCAAATTAATTCTCAGTACTTTCCTCTGGCAGCCCCCTCTCAACATTGCATCACATTTTCCTAGTTTACTTCTTCGATCAGCCTGAACCCTAACCTGGACACCCCTCTGTTTCCCTCAACTATGAACACCCACAGAAGGAGTTCTAGCAGCAGAACCCAGTTGACTGGCTCTCCTCAGTCTCTTCCTCACCCAAACTCTAACCTGAAGCAGAAATTCAGGTGTCCGAGAAATTCAGGCTGTCCACATGAATAGCTACAGAAATATCCTACATTCAAGGATAACCTGTGTTTATCAGACACTCTTCAGAAGATTATGGTCTTATAAAAGACAGGGAACAAAGCCCAGTAATTAAAGCAGTCCATTGTTGAGAGACATGATATAGAAGCCAGATTCTTTCAAGGTTCTGAGAAATAATATTCACTTAAACAAAACATGTTGAAAGGCACTAATTCAGTGAAAATTACAGCACTGCAGGAGACTCCCTGTATAGAATCACATCCCCAAGGCTTCTTCCAAAGTTTCTATATTGCCAACCCAGGACTGATTTTTGAATAAAATTTACGAATGCTCCACAGTATTTTTTATTTACTCTAACAAAATACACCTTTTTTTTCCCCAGCACTCTAATCTTGTACAAAAGGAAAACAGAACTTACAATTCTGCCAGGATTCCAGTTACTTTTTGGACCAGAAGTGGATTTTTAACTGCAATGTTAGTAAATATATTGCTAAAACCATAAACCTAAATCTGGCATTTTTATGACCTTTTCAGATGTGTTTCTTTACTTCCCCAGAAATTCATAAGAAGAATCCAAAGAAATACGGATTCTTTCAATCTGTTAACAAAGGCAAGATCTTAGGTAGCCACCATGTAACTGAAAAGAGGCCCCTATATAAAAATGCAACCTACTCCCAAAGCACAATGCCCACAAGTATTTCACTGAAGCACGCAGAAAATAGTCTGACACAGACGACTAGTTTTTCTGTAGCAAAAGACTGAAGCACTGTTTAACTACAAATGACTGGAAATGCTCTGGCAGTAATCAAAAGGAGTATTTTGAGGGTAAGAAATGGTACCTTACCTTAACATATTCCAAAGTAGGATCCAGAATATTCTGATCTCTGTAAGAAAATCAGCCAAGGAGGGAGGAACAAAGGACATAAAAAAAAAAAAAAAAAAAAAAAAAGGTGAGTCCAAATATAATCTAATACTGAAGAGATGCATTCATATGAGCAATAGGCTACCAGGTCATGTTAAAAACCTAGTTAAAAACTGTGTGCTACAGCTAGATGGCCTATGCTATCTAACTTTTAACAAATACATAAAATCACTAATTTCTTCTAGAAGGTCAGGTAGTGGAGCCACTAATAATTAATTTGGGAAATAATTATACAGTTTTAAGCAACGAAAAAACAATCCTGAATTTTAACAGATGGCTGAATATACTCGCATACAACCTAAAACATCTGAAATAAATTTAAAAGAGAGCTCTCCCAATGGCTTCTAAATTTTATCTCTTTGCTTGTATGTATTCCCATTTAAGCTACTGCTACTGATAGCATTGAGAGGACACTGCTAACAGAAGAAAACAGAAAGTAAAACATACACTTTTTATATAAACAAAGCAAAGAATTCATAGATTTGTAATAGCAGAATGTTTTATTTTACATTTGGAAAAATAAATACGGTTCTTGCACTCTTTGAAAAAGTTCTCAAAATTATCATAATTTCAACATTACAATTATTGGAAAGCCAGATAATCAAGTCATTGCCTTATTTTAAAAAGATGTGTTTGCAGGTTTTCTATACATACAGATGGCAAAGGGCACAGAAGCTTAAGTGAAGACCCTGTGATCAATTACAACTCTTTCCATAAAGAGAAACAAAAATAAACATACATTTTAAAAGGTTTTTGCATATTTGTTTTTGTTTTGAGTACCAGCAGGTTAAAAGTCTGTAGTACATGACTGGATGCTTTCTACAGAACCTGGGATGACATACATGGTGCTGCCTTAAATACAAACATGTAACAGGCACAGTGAAAAACCTTGCAAACTTACAGAGGGATCCAGGAGCTTGTTAGAGCAATCAAGTTTGCCACATGGACAACACATGCCCCGTAAATTTAGAAACAGAAACCTGTTTGGTGGAAGTTGTTATGATGATGTAACACTGGAAATGTAGTAAGCAGCTTCCGACATGCAGAAATTGGGTTACACTGGGATTAACCAACCCAGAATACAGTCACAAAATTTTCTGGTTTGATTTCAATGGAATTGTATATCACCTGAAACGAAGTTGTTACTATTTTATACTTGTTTTTTAGCCTGGTTCTCTTAACACCTTTTAATCCAGAATACCTATACAGAGGCAAAACAGAGCCCTCCCACTATTTAGCCCTGCCCTTAAATGATGGTGCTCAGCTGTTCAGGCTGTATCACAGGTTACTGTTTCATATTATCCCAGTATTTACCAAGGTTCAAGTTCCATTCCCAGCTTAGTTCAAAACCATAACAATAACAATGCCGCTAAATTAAATGGAAATAGAATTTGGACCATTTGAAACTTTGTCGTAGCCAATACACAAAGAGGAGGCAGCTTTGTAACTGTACGCGCATAAAATACGTACAAGCATAGAAGAGAAAATAGGGGTGAAGCACAGAGGAAAAAGGAAAAGGAAGTTTCTAAACAGAAAAAAAGTTTCTTTTCTCAACACTTTGCAATCTGATTGGGGAAAAAAAAAAATCCCATTCCTGATCAGTTCAGCGAAGCCATTAAGCATAGCTGAACTCCTCTCACATTCAAATGATGTGCAGGAAGTTGTGCCAGCACCACATGCTTCTGAAAAACTTTGCAGTTTAGTTCTTTGCTTGCAAGTGGAATCTTTCAGGGCAAAGAGTCTACCAGCACTGCATATGCCACATGCTCCAAAAGAACAAACCTGAGCAATAAGGCTAACATCTATTTCACTTGCTTACTTTGGCAGCGACCATGTCTTGTTATGGCCTGCGTTTACAAACTCCACTCCTGCAGACTAGTCTTGCTACAGACTCCACTGTTCCCACCGTGAGGTACAGGACAAAAAAGTCTTTAGGACAGATCAAGCCAAAGGAAAATGAAAGAGCTGGAAAAGCTCTAAGACAAAGCCGTCTATTTACTGCTATATAAAGCAAGAAAAGCAGAAGAGAGAGGGAAAGGAGTGACCTACATTTCCTTCACCATCCACATGACAAAAGTGCTTTGAAAATTTTGGCTTTAGAAAATGGATGGTGTAACAAACAATTCTCCAGGCCTTTAGCATCCTCACAGACATATCAGCCACAATCATAAATTAGCTGTGATAACTTTAACAAAACTCAAGTGTAGACACAACAGCATTATCAGAGATGCCCAAATCCTCACCATCATTCAGCTATCATATAGATATTCTCACAGGGACGGAAATTGCTGAATGGCCCTGAAGCAGTTCTGTGCTACTCCACACTTTCATAAATGCACTTGTGGGAAAACCATTAGGACACATCGCCACTACCTGACGCATGAAACTATGTTTGTTCGTTTAATTTAAAGTACCTTTGTCGGGGACATTTTCAAAAGCATCTCCTTTCTACGATACTGAAAGAGTGATCCCGAGAAGAACAATCTTCTCAACAGTGCCAATGCCAACAATGCCAACACCAAATCAGAATGAAGACACACAGGCTCACAAGTAGCCTGAGAAACTGAAAATGCACCAAGCTGTTGCATGGCTGCTTACACAGACAGAACTGCTATAAAGAGACAAGATGGGATCAAATGCCTTCTTCAGTTTGTGTCTTTGAAATCTCTCCATCTATGCAGATTTAAGAAACACACTGCTACTAAAGTATGAAGGTGCAAGTCTGAGCATGCTAGACATGCTCTGTTTAAGTATATGTACTGCAGACTGATGTTATGTGTACTATAAACTTAAGTAAAAGATTCAGTGATTTTATCCTCCAGCAGCTTCTGCTTCACACACATGCTCCTACTACATTCCTAAGGCCATTCCACCCTTCTGTCTACAGCTGCACAACACCATGGACATGAGTCATTCAAACACTAGTGGAAACAAGTGCAAACTGCTGTGACTAACTGCCTAATGACCTGCAGTTCACACAAGAACAGTAGGGACTCTTCAGTGATTAAAACCCAAGAAAAGATACAAGGTACTTTTCTCTGAATTAAATGAAATTTCAATTCATTCATATTTGTTCAGAATGCCCCTGCAGAGAGAATGTTGCAGCCCTTTACTTTTACCACTTCAATCTTCTGCATCCCCACGACTTGCTCCATTTTACCTATCACAGCAGAAAGATCTACCCTATTTTTTCTGCCTTTTCCAAATCAATTTCTGCTTCTGCACCACATACAGTAGTGGCCTCTACAACCTGTTCAAAGGCTCAGAGTAGGCACCCTCATTCTTTTTCTTTTATTTTCCTTAACATTTGGGAGTCCCAGAGCCAAAACTTTATTCTTCAAAGTCCTTCTTAAAATCTTCTATTCCCAAGACTGTTGCAATGTTGTCAAACTAGCGGTTGGGCAGCAAGAATACTCCTTATCCAAAGTCACTGTTTCCACAAACTTCTTTATATGTGTGCTGTCACCTGTGGACTTACACCTTCAGCTGGCATCTCTTTACAGTCAGTGCTTTAGTTCCTGTAGTTACTCAGAATCCAGCTTAGCAAATTTTTAAGTGTTCAAAAATAATCTAACCTTGCAAAATAAATACGCACATTCACAAAAGACTGACAAATGCTCAGCAGAATCACAGACTCCACCAATTAATCTGAAATTCATGTAAATCTAGGCACACTTTATTCACAAAGCAGGGCTGTCACCCGGCTGATATGTCTTTCAGGAATGTGTGTTTGGACTGAAGCACAGGGAAGTCAATCCTTTGCTTTAGTACTGAATGAGATGATGGTGGGAGGAAGAACTATCCTCCCTGTCTATTCCCTTACCCCAATTTAAGAAGCAAATTGCATCAAATGCCTCTCTACACTGGATATTGCAAGTGAGTGTTACGAAAATATTCCCCTGTGTGACATTTAACTACACTGGGAATATTCTACTCAATTTCACTGATTTTCTGCTAACTAACAGAAATTCATAATCCTGTATTACAATTGATCACTCACCTCCCCTCCCCACCTCCCACCATCAAAATCGATTGTATTTTGACAGGTTTGCACCAGTGAGTCACAAGCTCAGAACAAAACTCTGCGAACATGCAACCTTAGCACATAAAAGTGGCAAAAAGTGGGCACAAAAGTAATGTTCCTTTATCGGAGCTGGTTAGCAAACGTTAGGGATACTTGATTTTAATTTCATTTATGTTTCTGTGCTAAGTGAACTCGTGTCTGCAGTAGCAGCTGAAATTCTTTAAATACAGAAGTGTCAAATTATTACCAGAACAGCCATGAAAAATCCACTGGGTCTACACTTTTTCTCAGCTACAGAACAGAAAGACTGAAAGCGCCTTTAAGAAGAACAAATTGTAAGTGTTACAAAGCAGTTCTAAGGTATTAAGAAGGATAGCAAGGGTATGGAAGAAGAGGAGTTGTGAAGAACTGACTGTAGCTTCCACAATACTTTCAGAGGCCAGCAGGTACCTCACAACCTGTCATAAAAATACCTATCAAACCACAGCACAGGAGAAATTGCAATGCAGTATTATCTTTTGCTGACAAATACTTCTTGCTGAAAGGAAGAAATACAGCTACAAATGGTAGTTTCACCCAGACAGTGACAGATTAAGAGGTGTCTTGCAGCATATATACCATTGGTAAAACTTTTGATATAGAAATAGTCTATCATGACCTAAAAATTTAAGACAGTTGTCCTAGCACAACATTGTCATGTTCTCTTCTGATTTATTGTGATTTAACATGACCTCTAAAATGACTGCCGCCCTGATTAAGAAAAGTGTTTACCAGAAATAAGCACCTAAGTGCAAGTGAAGAAAGGGGTATTTTAAAATTGTAGTGTCTTTTTGCTATGCACTTTCTACCTGTCTTCATTCAGAGGCTGAAAATAAAACAGTCACTTCCACATTTATCTGCAGGATTGCTGGTTGTTAGCCGTAGGTACCAATATACTG